GGGCTGGCTGGCATGTGGTGCTGGGGGATTGAACTGTCGTCCCTGTGTGTTGCTAAGCTTGTTCTAAATAGGTGCTTTAGACCACTGAGCCATCTCACCAGCCCCTACATTTTTATACTTGATCAAAACCTTATATATTTTTTAGGAAAGTCAGATCAAATACACAGCATTTTCTCCTCCTCTATGAATACCATTACTATGCACTGCTCAAGTCAGAACTCTGAAAGTCATGCCAGATATGGTGGCACTAAACTATAATCCAAGCTACTCAGGAAACTTAAGCAGGAGGATTATAAATTTGAGGCTAGTCTGGGTAACTTAATGAGACAGTCTCAAATAAAAAGGCTAGTTTGTAGCTCAAATGCCCAATGTCAATCCCCAGTACTCAAAAATAAAAACAAAACACTTATGTTATAGCTTATATCTAGATGTCCCCTCAAAACCTTACATGCTTATCAGTAGGGCTTTCAGAAGGTGGCTGCATCTTGGGTGTGTGATGCTGGATGAGGATGTGATAATTGGATCAGTCTAGTGACTGGTTTAGCATAGATCTTGGAGCAGCTGAATGGACTTACTGAAAACAGAGTCCTAAATTGGATGTGAGCGGTACCAAGAGGCTGGTAGCCTGAATGAGATAAAAAGGAAAAGCAAGCCTGCCATGGACTGACTGTCCTCTGCCATGCTGCCCTGACTTTGAACCAGCCAAATATTGACTGAAACCTCTAAGAACTGTGAGCTAAAATAAACATTTCCCTCCTAAGCTCGTTGAGTGTCAGGTATTTTGTTCTAGCAATGAGGAAGTAACTAAGACACCTCAGCATTAGGTAACAGACAAGACTGAAGAAGGAATATAAATGATTAAAAACATACTACTAGAGGACTATATGATACAAACTTATTCTGAATCATACAGAGGGCTACATAAAGCCAGCAGAGTCAATTTCTGCTGCGTTCTGGGAACCCCCAGACCCAGTCCTAACCCAGGTCCGGTGAGTGTGTGGGAGAGCTTCCTGCTACCCTGCGCTGGTGGGACCAGTCCCAGCCCAGGCCCAGTGTGGGCCAGACCCTCTCCCACCCCCTTGGGACACTCCCCACTACACCTCCCCCACCCCGCCCACTGAGTAGGAATTTCTGCCGCCTTCTGAGAACCCCCAGACCCAGTCCTAGCCCAGACCCAGTGAGTGTGTGGGAGAGCTTCCTCTCCCCCCTACTCCACCTTGCCCCCTCCAGGCACAGCTTAGGCCTGGCACACATGCTTGAGGTGTAACCCTGCAGCTCCAATCCCTGCAGAGAGTGTAGAGGATAGATCCACCCAGCTAGTCCAGGAGCAGAACATCTTGCCACAGGGGCACAACAGGTTCACCCTCAAGGGCAGCAGCAGGAAGGAGCTGAGCACAGCAGCCAGACCCAAGCCAGGCACAGCTGGATAAGTCCAAACTTTGTAGAACTGCACCTGAACTGCAGTACGTCCGAAGGTTATAACTACAACAAAGATCTACAACAAAGGTCAGAAGACAGTGCTACACAAAATGACGCGAAGGAACAAAATGCAACCTCAGAACCCGAGCCCACCCGTAACAAGTGCAGAAGACACTAACACAGAACAAACTGGAAATCACACAGCTGAAAGCAATGAATCAACGGCTTCTGAAATAAAGAAAAAGCTGCAGAAAGGTATAGAGGACCTCAGATTGGATATAAAAAAAGAAATCCCTGAATTAAAGCCAGCAGAGTATTTATCTTATCTCTTCCAACACCCCACCTTTTCTACCTGGTATTATGTCTATCCTCTAAGATCCAGCTCATGCATTATATTTTCTGTGAAAATTTCCCTCCTGTATCCACAGTGGGGCAGTTCCTCATCTACACTGATCAAGCTTTTTTTTTTTTTTTTTTTTTTAAGGAAGGGGCTACAGGGTGTTCAGAGTCTCACTACTAGATCAGACTTGTAGTGATCCACCTGTTTACAGTCTCCCAAGAGCTGGGATTACAGGCACATGCCACCACACCCAGTCTCAACTGCCGTCTGGAGGCAGGGCAGGCACAGCAGGCCCAGGGATCGAACCCCTGACTCTTTGGCTGGCCCGATCACAGCATTTTAAATCATTAATCGGATGCTGTGCTATGTGAGCTATACTATGGACTCAGGTAGGTACCATATCTTCCTGCTCTCTGTGCTCCTGTGCCAAGAAAGTGCCCAGAAGGTATGTGACTTATGAATATCTAAGACAATAAATTAATCTAAATAAATTAAAGATCATGGAACAAAGAAAACCAGACCACCAATTGCTACATATAATAAACAAAATATGTAAATTCAGGTCAGTCCTCTCATGCATGTGGGATGTATGCTCAGTTTCAGGACATGAGCAATTTCTTTCTTAAAGAAAATTTTGCCTTACTTATCTATATAAAAGTTTAGCCTTGTCTCAGAATAACATTTTCTGAAAACCTAATACACAACATTCCTATGTGACATGCACAAATAAAGTAACATAGGTAAATAAGCACACCTGCATCCAACATTCACACAGAGACACAAAATGTTTCCTGCATCTCAGAAGGTTTACACCCAGCCCCTTTCCAACAGAATATATCATTCTGATTTCTGCCACCATTAATCAGGTTTTCTGTTCTTCAGGTTCACATATTTGAATTAAACAGTATGGATCTTTTATGATCACATTCTTTCACTCCATACAGTATCCATGAAATTCATTCATATTGTTATATGCAGTTCATTCGTAATTGCTGTAAAGCACACTATTATATAAATATACCACAATAGATTTATCCATTCTCCTGGTGATGGACATGTAAGCTGTAAACACTTTTGAACCTTTCTTTTCAATCTATTTTTTGCTCAATTAGAAGAAGAAACTTCAAAGCAGAGCACAGGACCCAGAGAAGTTTATTTTTTGAAAGAATGGGTATTCTGCCCACATTAATCTGAAGTACTTTTCAAAGTCATATGACTGAGTATCTTAATGTTTCACTGATTACAGGACACTTATTTATGTAATATTGAGAAAAAACCATTGTCAATAAAACTATGACACAGCATACTAAGACACTGCCTATGGTAACACTTCAATTTAAAAAAATTTTTTAAATGTATCTTTAAAAAGTACATACACCGTTTTGTTTTGTTTTTTGTTTTTTGGTCTTTTTGAGACAAAGTTGTACTACACAGTTCAGGCTGGCCCTGAGCTTACTTTGTACCCCAGACTGGTCTTCAACTCACAATGATCTTCCTGCCTCATCCTCCTGAGTGCTGGGATTACAGGTATGCGCCACCACACCCAGCACTAAATACAAGATACATGTATCTTGTTTCACCTAATTTGATAAAATTCTAGGAAAATACTAGTTATATGATACTATATACATGTGGCACATAGGTAAGTTATGATAGGAGGGGTACAATAATAACCCAACCCCTCCCTCATACACTCATCACCCACCCTAAGAACTACATGCACACCCATGTTAAACACATGTTCAGTCCTGAGATATTTGCATTCCCTGCCTTTCATCTCCATGCCTCACCCACAAAAGATAACCACTATCCTGAACTTTATGGGCATATTTGCTTTAACAAAAAAATTATCACATAAGTATGTATCTTTATTTTATTTTATTTTTTGGTGGAACCAGGGATTAAACTCAGGCCCTTGCGCTTGCCAGGCAAGCACTTATTCTACTGAGCTATCTTCCCAGCCCCTGTATCTTTAAGTATTATACTATATACTGTTTGTTCATCTGATCCTAAAGTTTTGCCATTCCCTTACCCATCACACAATGAGACCCTATGCTATTTCAGATTACTTGTCATCCTCCAAAATTTCATCTTTGTCACTCTCAAATGTCCTCACTTTGAATCTAAATCCTAAGACTCTCTTTCATGATAAGGGATAAATGCTCCTTTCCTATATTTTATTTGATCCTTTTAGTACTAATTTCTTAATTTCTTCCCTTCTATGATCTCTGACACTTTTTTTTGGAGACAGGGTATCATTATGTCATTCAGGCTGGCCTCAAACTTGTAGCAATCATCTTGGCTCAGCCTTCTACATGTGGGATTACAGGCATGTGCCACCATGCCTGGCTTGCCTGATACTTAGAAGATTTATTATTTTTAAGTAATTTTTTTATTCTGTTCTAAAACTTTTATGTATATTTATGATACAAAATGATTACATTCATTATTGGAGAGTTAGCATTCATTACATATTTATACTATATATACTAATATATCTTAATCATTTTTTACTTCTCTCTCCCTTCTTTAGGTCCTTTCCCCATCTCCAAAAAGTCCACCTCCTTGCTTCCTACCATATTTCCTTTCCTTTCCTTTTTATTTTTACTTTTTATTTTTTTAATCTATTTGGTTGTTACAGGGTATCACTACGCAGCTCGGACTTAACTGATCCTTCTGTTTTCGGCCTCCCCAGCACTGGAATTACAGGTGTACACCACTATGTCCGGACTCTGTAGCCATCTCAGCCCGCCTGGGGATGGGGCTGGTGGGGCACGTGGTGCCTGGGATCAAACCGCAGTGCCTGCACTTGCCTAAACTTGCCTAAGCAGGTGCTTTAGTCTGCTGAGCTCTCTTGCCAGCCCCCTATTTTGCTTTTTATAGTCTCAAGGTTGATCCATTTTCTACAAGTGACTCAAATTTATCATTTTTTATGGTTATTTTTCTATTGTGTATATGTACACCTTATCTTCTTTATCCATGTATCTGTTAGTAACATTGAAGCTATTTCCATAATTTAGTTATTGTGAAATGTGCTACTATAAACATGGGTATGCCCATCACTGTAATGGATGACTTTAACTCTTTCAGGAAGTTACCAGGAGAGGTATAGCTGGGCCAAATGGAATTTCTATTTTTAGTTTTCTGAGGAACCTCCTTAGTGCTTATTATTAGTTCACACTCCCATTAATGATGTAGAACAGCTTCTTTTTTCCCCTATATCCCAGCTAGCATTTTTTGTTTTTGAGTGTTTAATGGAAGCCATTCTTAGAGGAATAAGATGCAATCTCAGTGTTGTTTTGATTCACATTTCTCTAGTAGCCAAGGCTTTTAAGCATTTTTTCATTTGGTCATTTGTGTTTTTTTTTTTTCTCCACATAATAAATTTATTACCTTTTGTCTTTCCATGTGAAAGTCCTGTTTACATTTGTGTTCACCTGATGATTAATGATGAACTTTCTGTCACATATTTGTTGGCCACTTGTATGTCTTTATTTGAGAAATGTCTATGTAAGACCTTAGTCCAATTTTTAACTGGGTTAGTTGATTTCTTGCTATTCAGTTTTTATTTTCGAATATACAGTGTTATGAATATCAATCTCTTTCAGATGTATAATATGCAAACATTTTCTCCTTGTCTCAGTTCATCCAGGCTGCTATAAAATAAGTTAGATTGGGTAATTTATAAACAAGAGAAATGTACTGCCATTTGTGTTTCTTTTGAGAAGTATCTACTAATTTCAATTGCCCATTTTTTGATTGGGTCTTTTGTTTTGGGAGTTTTTTTTTTTAGTTCTTCATATAGTCTAGATATTAGTCCTCTATTACAGAAGTAGTTGGCAAGCTTTTTTTCACAAGCTACAGGTTGTCCTTTTGCTCTATTGTTTAGTGAGCATAAGCTTTTTAATTTGATATAATCCCATTTGTTGTTTATTGGGCATTATTTCTTGTGCATCTGGGGTTCTGCTCAGAAAGTCCTTGCCTATGCCTGCACACATTTCTCGCTGAGTGAAGAGAGAGCAAACAAGTTAGAAGGTGGGAGCTCCAACTGCCTATTACTCTCTCTGAAGCCCCTCAGTGCCTTCAATTACTAATGTTTGGATAATGGTATACCCTAGATTTAAGTGTTCTACAAGCATCTGATGTCAAGTCTCACAGGAACATCTGCATTATAGCATTAAAGGTGAGCAAGGCTCACCTGAGGTTTTTGTAAAAGCAACCAGAGAAAAGGCCCAACAAGGAACAGGATTCTCCGGCAAAGCAAGCCTAAATCAAGTTCTGCACATTTCTCTTCATGACTTGGGGTTCTCCATTCAATGTAAAGCTTAGAGAATGGGTTTGATCTTCTTCTATGTGTGTATGTGGTACTGGGGACTGAACTCAGAACCCTGCACTTACCAGGCAAGCGCTTATTTTACTAAGCTATCTTCCCAGGTCCTTTGATCGTGTTGAGAGAGAAATGTTTTTCCAAAACCTTGTGTGTTTAACCTGACTGTAATTACTTTGAAGAAAGCAATCAAACTGACTTTCTCTTTAAATTTATTTATTGTTTATAATATTTGTATTTATCAAATGCTTTTTAATTTGGGGTGATAGTACAACTTTACATGAACTACAATATAAATTAAGATAACAGTTTTTCAAAGGAAGCCTGTATAAATAAAGGACTTTAACTCTCCTAACCTCATAAGCATTATGTGCTGCTTACCTGAGAGGTATCCACTCATGCTTTTGTCAAGGCTATTGAATTTTTGCCGATACTTTAATCTTGAAGGCTGAGGAACTGCCCACTCTAAAGTGCCAGTCTTGGGTGAGTTCCCTGAGAGTGAAGCAGTTGAGGAAGTTGAGCTACAATGAAATTTAAATTTTTTATGTTACTAAATAAAATACATTAAACTGCATGACAAACTTATTAAGAATTATAACTTACATAATACAGTAATAACTGCCTGTGCATTTGAGTTTTTTTAAACTTAAATTTAAGCGATTATAATTCTTGTTAAAGTAAATACCATATGAGGGGGGCCGGGGAGACGGCTCAGTAGGATAAGCGTTTGACTGGCAAACGCAAGGATCTGAGTTCAATCCCCGGTTCCGCCAAAAAAAAAAAA